TCCAGATGGGCTCTGGCCCAGAGGGAGAAGAGGTGTTTCGCAGCCTGAAGCCCCTGCTCGTCAGCGTCCTGACAGACAGCATGGCCAGCCCCTGTGCCAGGCAGAGTGTAAGGCCCAGCCCCTTTCCTCTTGGGCGTGGGGGGCACCTCAGCAGTGGGGAGAGCCCGGGCAATGCCTTTGGGGGCCCCTGCAGTCACGAGAGGGCAGCAGGACTGGGTGCTGTGGGGAGCAATGGGGTAAAGCAGGAGCATCCCAACCCTGCTTCCCCTTGGTTGGGTGCTGGATCTGGCCCAGCACTGCCTCCTCTGACTGCCTTTTCCCCATGTCTCTCACCAGTGTGCCACAGCCCTAGGCATGTGTTGCTACATTGCCGCTGCTGACCTCGAGGTAACTGTGCCCAGGTGTTGTCCATACCCCTGCTGGAGGGCACCCCAGGTGCTGCTGTGCCACCTGCCCTCAGCCCATGGTGCTAGGACAGCTTGGAGCTGAGTTGGGGAAAGGGGACATCAGTGACAGCCCAGGCCCCTTCCCCAGTCAGTGTGGAGCTGAGCTGGGGGGGAAGCCTGCCTCGCAGAGATGGGGTGTCACAGGAGGAGCTCCTGGTGTCCCTGGGCAGGGTGGGTCGCCTTTGGTCCCCAGTGTGCCATTTCTTCCTGGCAGCTGTGGTCTGACAGGCCAGTTTTCCCCTCCAGGACCTGGTCTCGTGCCTGTCCTGCTTGGAGGGCGTCTTCAGCCCCCCCAGCACAGGTGAGGGGGGCTCAGCACCCGCCCAACACGGCCCTCTGCACTGCAGCGTGCTCCAGTCGTGGTCCCTGCTCCTCACCATCTGCCCCCCCTCCTACATCAAAAGCATCTTGAACAAGTGAGTCAGGCAGGGTATGCGGGGGCTGCTGTGGGGTAGCCGGCTGTGGAGGGGGAGCCCATGGGGTGGGGCCCAGCCCCCCTGACTCCCCTCCTGCCTTCCTGTCCCAGTCGCTGGCTGAAGCTGCCCCCGCTGCTGTCCAGCAGCAGTGTCGCGCTGCGCATCCTGGCTGGGGAAACCATCGCACTGATCTTCGAGCTGGCCCAGGACATAGAGGTACGGCGGAGCGCTGCGGCAGCAGAAGGCAGCGGGTGGGCAGGCAACAGAGACATGCTGGCACTGGCACCCTGCCCATGCCCTGGCTGAGCTGGCACTGATGGCGTTGGGACGCTCCAGGCTGGCGTCACCAGCAGGTGCCCAGGCAGAGGGGCTGGCCCTGGTGATCCCCCAGCCCTGTCCTGGCGATGGTGGCGGTGGGCAGTGCTTGGAGCTGCGTCCCTTCCAAACCCCCCTGTTTATTTGGCAGGAGGACTTGTGCCACCAAGATACAGAGTTCCTGTGTGCCCAGCTCAAGGTCCTGGCTACCGAAAGCAACAAGTACCGAGCCAAGACGGACCGACGGAAGCAGCGCTCCATCTTCCGGGACATCCTGCACTTCATCGAGGTACCAGAGGCTGGTGGCATGCTTCCTGGCCAAGCCCCTGGCTGTGTGGCTGCTGCCCAGCTGAGAGCCGGGGGACACACGGGGCTGGTGCCCAGGCTATTGGTGATGCCCTTCTCTCTGCTTAGAGCGGGGAGTACCAGGAGGAGACCATCCGATTTGGGCTGGAGTGCATGTACCTGGACAGCTGGGCACGCCAGCGGACCTACCAAGCTTTTAAAGAGGTGCTGGGCTCCGGTATCTGCCACCACCTCCAGGTAGGGGCCGGGTGGCCATGCCAGGGGGGTGCAAGGCCAGTGCTGGCGAGTGCTGACAGGCCCCTGCTTCCGCAGAACAATGAGCTGCTACGGGAGATCTTTGGCCTTGGACCCCCCTTGGTGCTGGATGCGGCCACTCTGAAAGCCAACAAGGTCTCCCGCTTCGAGAAGGTGGGTGCCGCCACCCAGATTTGTGCCCGCGGTCCCCTCCCGTGCCGCCATGGACTCCAGCCGAGTGCCTGAGTGTGGTGGGTGCTAGTGGGGAGGTGGGCAGAGGGTCACCCCCTAACCCATCTCTCCTTCCCTCCCCTCCCAGCACCTCTACAACTCAGCTGCCTTCAAAGCCCGCACAAAAGCCCGGAGCCGTGTGCGGGACAAGCGGGCGGACGTGCTGTGACAGGCGGAGGGGGGCAGAGCCCCCAGCCCACCTGGACTGCAGACCCTGCACTGTGAGGGGCAGGTGCCCCCTGCCCTTGGGCTTTTATTCGTGTACAGCAGAGTATTTAATGCCTGGAGCTGCCCCCCCCGGAGACTGCCCCCTCTTTTATTTTTTTTTAACCAAAAAAAAAGAAGGATAAAAGAAGAGCCGGGGGGAGGCGGTGGCATACTGCTGTGTGCCTG